GTATTAGGCGACCCCTGTGAAAGGGCCATATGACTGGCAACTGACCCACAGGGTGAGAACCGCTGCCCCATAGGCTAGAGTAGAAGCGCTCCTGCAGCTACCCATGTGTTTCTGAGACTCAAACTCTTTACAGGAGTAGTAAGGCTCATCTTCCCCCTTTTCCCCCAAGAGCGGCTGGTGGTTTCAAACTGCTGACCTTCGAGTTAGCAGCACAACGAGTAACCATGATGTCACTCCCACAAAATATCAAATAGAAGACCTAGCAATCTTGGAGTCGTATCTGTTGCTGCTGCTTCGTACATTTGTGTGTGTGTGAGTAAAGACTACCGCTCAAGTTGCTCACTGGACCTACAGAGTATGTCAGGATGGGGGGCGGAAAGGAATTCAAAAGCACGCAGTTTACCCGTTTCTAGGACCTGCCTCAGCCCTTCACATATGTGAGTGTGTAAGCCCCTCACCCAGAGGCCTGGCCTACGGAGATCCGTGATCACAAAACTCTGAAGGTACTGCAAGTACAGGTTCCTGACTCCTGGCCGGGTAGCGACCTCAGGAAAGAAGCACCTGGGGTGGGGGGTGAGGGAGTGGGTGTCATAAAACTACCCTAGGATGACACTGGGAGACATGGACCCCCGCTGCGATTTATATAGGTGGGAGGAACGGGGCCTCATCTCCTGCTAATAATCTCAGAGAATGAAAATCAAAGCCCTGTAAAGGCACTTAAACTGTGAATTAGCTTTGAAGTACCATCGGAGGCAAGGTTGTTGTTTTTTAAAATCATATAATAAATTTACAAAAGAGGTTTGGGCTGGAGGCTAGAGATTAGGCACCCACTCTTAATTAACCAACATGGTTAGGCTCCCAGAACAGGTGGTTATGTGAAAATTGGCGCTGGAGATGACCACACACGATTGCAAAACGGAGTATGACTACATCATTGCACAACCGCTAACCACTGAGAACCATGGCCCAGCCAGGCTGACACGTACCCTTACTCTTGCTTAGCATCTCTGCATTCATTGCTGATAGATGTATGTTGTCATTGGATAGAATTTTTCTTTACTATTATTGTACATGCAAAATGTCGGACAACACAACAGCTGACCAAGTAAGGAGTAGGTGTACATGACACAGACCAGAAGTCATCCAACTACGCCCCCATGCCAGATGTAGCCCACCATCGGCTTTTGTGCGTAAAGATGCACACAGTCATTGGTGATCGTCAACACACTGTTCACGGCTGCTTTCACGTCACAAGCAGTTGTGACAGCGACTATACAGCCGGTAAAGCCAACCATCATTACCATCTGGCTCTTTGCAGAGAAGGTTTGCCAACTTCTTCTCTAGACCAGGTAACTAGAACTTGAACCTCAGACAAAAGCAGAAACACAGGTGCTATTTGTATCTGCATCCTAATGACTTGTTCCCACTGCATTGAGTTTTTCTTTCAAATTCACATGTTCTTCAATACTTACTTGAAGACTCATCTTCTTCCAAACAACCGACTATTACAGGCACCCTCAGCCTACAGTCACATCCTTACCAATACTTCAAGGTGCTACTTTTTAAAAAAAATCCACCATCCAAATGAGTTTTTTCTTCCTAGAGCCCAACAAGGAAGCAGAGAACTGAGCCCACCCAGAGGCAGGGTGACACTTATGGTTGGGCTGCTAACCACAAGGTCAGCAGTTTGACACTCCCAGCTGGTCCTCAGGAGAAAGTTGAGGCTTCTACTCCTGTAAAGAGTTACCGTCTCGGAACCCCGCAGGGCAGTCTACCCTGTCCCACAGGGCTGCGATGGGTCGGTACCCACTCAATGGCAGGGAGAGTGGCGGCTTCTGCTGCCTGGGATATTGAGGGCACCTCGCTGGGAATTGCTCTGGAGAAACTTAATGGGGAATGCTCGTCTTTGGATTTGGAGAAGCAAAGTCACTCAGCCCACGGTGCGAAGTAAAATGAAAAGCGTTGAGGCTCAACCATCTCATCTCTATGAATTTTACTTCGGACATGTTGCTCTCGCTGTAAGATGAAGCCACAAGGTCATCGGATGCCGACACCTTTCCCAGTGGTCCCACACTGAGGCGACAGCTTCCAGGATACTTTGTACACCCCTCCGTCTGGCATCTGCCATAACCAAAGAGCCAGACTGGTTGCTGTGGAGTCAATCGGACTGCTGGTGACTATGGATGTCGGAGTAGAACTGTCTTCCCAGGGCTTTCAATGGCTAGTTTGTCCCCAGCCACCCCCTTCAGTCAACTCCCCAAATGAGACTTCCAGTGATAAGAGTCTTCTGCGGTGTCTCTGAGTGGACCTGAGTTGCCAACTTTTTGGTTAGTGTGTGAATTATTGGCCTCGCCCAAGGATTCCAGCACACATCCTAAGGTATGACTGAATTTACGTATCAGACACTGTGTTGCCCTTTGTGTATCCCGAATCCAGCAGGTTGCCTGAAGTCAGAGCAAGAATTCAATCACCTTTGACTACTCTTGCTTCCAGATAGGAGGCCACCTCTTTGTTCTAACATCAGTTTTCATTTTCCACTCCATCTCTGCATGTAGCACGCTCCACACCTCAAAGAGCTCTGGGGTACGAAGGGTTAAGGCCACAGCTCTAGGAGGGGTTGGGGGAAGCAGGTCTGTGGAGGCTGTGCCCTCCCACACCTGCTTCCAGGTTGACATTGGTTCCCCAGAGGTCTGCGTAAGAGAACCGAGCTTGCCTTCATAGAACTGGTTGACTAGTTAGCCTGGAAGGAATTTCCGGAACTTCCCACAGACCCACTTTCATCCTGGGGTAAAAACATTCCAGAGGCTACTGGGTAATGTTGTGATAATGTGCTGGATTGGGTTCTCCATTGTTTAGGCCAAGTTCTCTGTTGACAGAGAGCTGATCTAGAATCGATCACTGAAGGGTGAGATGGCATCCTATGCAGTGGGCCACGGACAAGGTTACCCAGGGGCGTCCTTACCACTGTCGTCCAGGGCACTTGGGGGATCCTGGTGTAGGTCATGGTTATGTAGATGATGAGGAAGAAGACGGTGAGGACCCAGTAAAAGACAGCTACAAACATGACCCAGCCAAACGCGGGGACGCGGAAGTACTCCGTTCCGGCAATAAGTGTCCACACCAGCAGCCCCAGCACCTGTACAACAACGAGAGTGGAAAAGCCAAGGGGGGTGGGGGGGAAGAGTGGATAAAGGACAGAAGGGAAAAAGAATCATAATTATACGGAGTGTCAATTACATTATGTCCTTTAAGTATACAATATTAGATTTAAGAATACATGATCGAACTCTGGAGTTGTATGATAATGTGGATGGTGTGCCATTAAAACCGTTAACAACTAGTACATTTAAGACTTCAGTAACGGTTACAAACTGGGTGGGGTGGTGGGCTATGCACTGGACTGCTAACTTCGAGGTCAGCTGTTCGAAACCATCCGCTGCTCTGAGGGAGAAAGAAGAGGCTTTCTACTCTTGAAAAGAGCTAGTCTTGGAAACCCACAGGGAGAGCTCTACCCTGTCCTGTAGGGCTGCTATGATCAGAATTGACTCCATGCCAGTGAGTTGCTGAGTTGAGGCAGAGCCGGGGTGCAGTTAAGAACACCTGTATCTTGTCGTAAGGGGTAAGTCTCTACTGAGCTCCAGGCCATTGTTGATCATTTGTGAGCTGGTTTTTCTAGCTCTCCCTCTACCCACCCCACCCACCCTCCCACCCAAGGAGAATATAGGGACTCACGTTTGCACACAATAATCTGGATGTTTAAATGTTAGCAATAATCAAGACACCTGGCAGGGCAAAACAACACCCACTGTGGCTGGAATTTACTTACAGGGAATAATACTAGTCAAAGGAACAAGACTGCAGGCTCGCTCAGATGCGGGTCCCTGGGACAGACCTGCTCTTGAAGGATGTATCTGTGAGGGTCTCCACTGCTAATGCTGCCCGCGTGACCGATGGCAGATAGCATGTGGCCTGAGAGTGCTTTCCAAGGGAGGAGGAGCAAGGTCCCAGGCCAGCCCTCGTCACTCAGCATTGCATTATAAATTGCCCATCTAATCCCGGCATGTCATCTGACTTCACCACCAGTGTCCATGAGTGTCATTGCTGACTAAATGAGGCTCTGCCAAAAAAGGGAAAGAAATGGATTTCGACCCTAGGTGCTTTTTGTCCTCCTGGACAAAGGAGAGCAAAACGAGGCGTGCGTCTTGCATTCCAGCACCTTCTAGGAAGTGGGAGGGCTTCATTCCTAAAGCAAGGAAAAGTTAGTATCTGAGCCACATTTGCAGGAAACAGCACTATGGGCCGGGCTGCAGGGTGCGACAGCGGATTTCATTTCTGCTTTACGTTCGTTTGTGGTGAGTGGGTCAAGAGAATGAGTGATTCTCATCACAAAGCCAGGGAGATGAATTCATTCACTCATTGAATATTTGCAAGCCTACAATATGGCAGGCTTCCTTCCTGAGGCCTTCGGAGCACAGTGGGGGCAACTGACCAGACCTGCCTGGTACATGACCATCGAGTCAATGTTAACTCATAGTGACCCCCTGTGGGGTCGTAACTGTGCATGGGAGTAGAAAGCCCAATCTTTCTCCAGAGGAGCTGATGGTGGTTTCAAACTGCCAACCGTGCGGAACTCGGCCCAGTAGAGTATCCACTACACCAGCATGGCTCCTTAAGTCCAGTAGGGGAGAAATATCTAATCACCATCGTGGGAAATGCTATATGAGAGAGATGTGATTAGGATCTATTCCAGGAGGACCCAACCTTGTTGGTGGAGTCCTTGAATGATGCAAAATGTAAATGTGATTGGCGGCGAACCCAAAGGTTGAGGGTTCAATTTGGGAGAAAGGCCTAGTGATGTACTTCTATCAGACATTGAAAATGCTCCATCATCTTCATGACCCTGTGGCCTTCAAGTCAACTCCAACTCCTATCGACCCTCCAGGACAGGGTACACCTGCCCATGTAGGTTTCCAAGATTGTAACTCTCTCTTTTTTCAAACCCAACAACAATCAGATTATTAGCAATAGTAGCTCTATTTTTATTTTTATTTATTTATTTTTAAATCAATTTATTGAGGCTCATACAATTCATCACAATATATACATCAATTGTGTAAAGCACATCTATACATTTGTTGCCCTCATTATTCCCAAAATTCGCTTTCCTCTTGGGTTACCGGAATCAGCTCATTTTCCTTTTTTCCCCTCCCCCTCCCTTCTCCCCCATGTACCCTTGATAATTTATAAATTATTATTGTATCCTATATTACACTGCCCGGCGTCTCCCCTCACCCACCCCTCTGCTGCCCGTCTCCCAGAGAGGTCACATGTAGCTCCCTGTGATCAATTCCCCCTTTCTATACCCCCCTTCCCTCCTGGTTTTGCCACTGTCACCCCTGGTCCTGAGAGGTTAATCTGTCCTAGATTCCCTGCGTTTCTAATTCCCATCTGTACTGCTGTGCATCATCTGGTCTAACCAGGTCTGCAAGGCAGAATTGGGGTCCTGGTAGTTGGGGGGGATCTATTTTTATTTTAAAGAGTTTCATTTGTACCTTACGTACCTGTCATACAATTCAATAATTCAATCATATCTAGAAGAGTTGTACAATGGTCACCGTATTTAATTCTAGAACATTTTCTTCTTCCTTGTAGTTATTCATGTAATAATAATTATTTTTTCTAATTGTGGCAAAAATATACACAACAGAACATTCTCCAATTCCACAGTTTCTACTTGTGTAATTCCGTGGCAGTGATTACATTCTCATGCTATACAGTCACTATGGACATCCTGTTCCAAATTATTCTACCACCATTGACACAGACTCAATGCCCCTGATTGGACAACCCTTTCCCCTTCACCTGTGGTGGTTACAAAGCTTGGTTTCTTTTTTTTCTCGTGATTTTCTTGATAGAGGAATCACCTATCATATACTTCCATGGTTAAATTACATTTAAAATGAGTTGGTGGGCGGTGGTTAGGGACTAAAGAGAAACTGATACCAAGGGCTCAACAGAAAGTAAATGTTTAGAAAAGGATGATGGCAACACATGTACAAATGTGCTTGATATAATGGATGGATGGATTGTTATTAAGAGCTGTTCGAGCACCCAATAAAGTGATCTTTTAATTAAAAAAATTAGTTGCACAATCACATCAGTTCTAGTGCTCCCTCCCCCATCCCGCATTCACTGTTTGCTCTCCAAATCCCCTCCCCCCCTCTATCTGCCAATCCCACCCCCGGGTGCCCTATAAGCCGGGGCAGCACCAGTCCTTCTGTGCCTCACAAACTGGGAAATGCAACAGACACAATAGAAGACAAAAACCAAATAGAGTGGTAAGGATACAAACATAATAATATAAAGCTAAAAATACACATAATGAGTAAGAAGGAAAAGATCACCATCAATTTTTTAAAAGACAGGGAAGACTTTTTTGTCAGGGAACAAGCAAGAAATATTTGCACCTAGAAAAAATTCAGGTTGGGACATGAGGGAGGTCAACAGCATTTATTGAAAGTGAAGCTGCACAAAATGGGATGTTCATTCCGGATAGTGTTGCCAGGTCTCAGAACCGACTGGTGATCTGTCCACCTGTATCTGACATCTGTGAGATCAGGAAGCTCGGAAACCACCTCACCGCTTCTTGATTCAAATGGAAAGGGTCGAAGGAGCCCGTGCCCGACGATTTACTCTGGAAAGCTAACAGGTGAGTGACGAGGGTACCGCGGACAAGGTGCAAGGTGCAGGGATTTCAGGCACAGGATTCAGACCAGCCTGGTGAGCTCAACAGACAGCTCCGGGCTTTCAATGGGCCCCCACAACACAAACAAAAAGACTGAGAGCCATTTTCAGTGCTGGAGCAAGTGGAGCTCCCTGTCTAGAGCCGCTTTGTCCAATGGGCTGGCTGTGGTCACCTCTTACAGTCAGGGGCAGTATCGGCAACCGAGCCATCTCATCTCTCAAAGAACAGGAGTGACCCGTGACCTCATCACGGGACCCGGGCAAAGAAACGCCCTTGTCAAGAAAAGCACTCTTTTAACCAAGTCTATTTCCTGGGTAACTGAAATACATCCAGAAGCCAGCCTGTCCTCTCCCGCCACAGCCCACACAGATGACAACCACTCTAGGAAGCCATTCGCTTCTGTGTGTGACAAATCTGGCCTTTATGTGCTTAGAGTAGAACAACATGGTTT